CCCCCGATGGGACCAGCCGTGCATCAGAGGTCAAGATTTGCTGTTAATTAACAGCCCAGGGGTCTCAGTGCTAACATGGGACGTGAGTCCTCCCAGGTAGAAAGATGGAACTGCCTTTCCAGCAAAATTCCCTTTTTTCATGCAGGAAGGGAGAACCGCAGGGGCCCTGCAAATCAGGGGGTGAAAGGAAGGTGCCAGCCCACGCGGGCAGTAGTAAAGGGCACCGAACAGGGACAGCCAAGTTCAAATCCCTTATGGAGTGACTTTGGACCACTCTCTCTCATTCTCTGCCCAGCCTACCTCACAAGTTCGTTGTTGGATTTGGACTGGGGAGGCTCAGGTTCAAGTCTCCCCTCAGCCATGGAAAGCCATTGGGTAACTTTGGGCCAGTTACTCTCTCTCTCAGCACGGCCCACCTCACAGGGTTGTTGTTGTGGGGCAAACTGGAAAGAAGGCGGTGTACATCAACTTGAGCTCCAAACGAAAAGTGGAAAGTCGATTGAATAAATACATATTTCTTACCATTGACTGAGGGGAGGGGTACCCTGGTAAAATAAAGCACAGAACATGATTTTGATACAACGGCCTCTTTCTCATTTCATGCCCGCGTAGGAGTACCAACACATTTGGTGCTAAGATCGGCCAGTTCAGAGACACAAGGAATTGGCAGCCTCAGGTTTGCAAGGATGAAATCACCAAGGGGTGACGTCCTGCCCTCTGCTGCATTCACACAACATCCTTTAAACCCCAAATCCTAGTTAAAGTGACCTAAATTCATATGTCGTGCAGTATGTTTGGACTAAGGTAAGGACCACATTCTTACGACAGGTGGAACTGTTTAACAATCTGAGGTTTAGTAGGCCTGGCTGAAGCCAATATTGGTTTCCCAGATTGCAGCTTTTCAACTGAACAAAAAATCTGAAATTTCAATCAAGGTCTGCGAAAGTCCTTTCTGGTTAGACGACTAGAGTTGATCAGTTGCAAACCAGCACTGACTGCCATTAAACCGTCATTGCATCCATACGATCAGGCCAAAGGAGTGATTTCTTGCAAGGCTTATTCAGCAGGGGGCTAACCTCAGCCGATCTTGAAAAGCTACATATGGTCCCACCTGCTTAGGATTTGGATGGGAGACCACCAAGAAACCCCAGGGCTGGAAACTTGCCTGGGAACTTGAAACAAATATCTCAGAAGGTGACAGTGGCAAAACCATGTGGGTATAGCTGGGCGAGAAGACAACGTGGGTTGTCCATCAGGGCACCAAGTGTCCAGCTCAGCTCAGCTCTGCTCAAAGGTGCCTTTATGTTAGTCCCAAAGGAAGACTTGGGAAGGAAGACCCAAGGCCAGAGGGGTGGGGGCGCTGAGATGGATGTCAGTTGCTCCCACCAGAGCCGAGAGCACAGAGCTTGCACACCACGCATTGCACACCACGCATTGACTGATTCGCTTGCACACCACGCATTGACTGATTCGCCACGCATTGCAAGGAGGAAATCCACATTTTGTCTTTAGCTCTGCAGATATACACTCCAATGCTTTAAAGCAGTGTTTCTCAACCTTGGCAGCTTGAAGATGGGTGGACTTCAACTCCCAGAA